CTCTGACACACACACACACACACACACACACACACACACACACACACACACACACACACAGTTCAAGAACAGGCAGAAGTTCATGACAATAGAAATCAAAATTGTGGTTGCTTCCAAGTACTATTACTTAGGAGAGGTACAAAAAGTCCATTCAGCTGTGTGCTTAAGATGCAGAAAAATGACCGATCACTGCATAAAACCCATAGATGAGGTGCCAGTGTCCTCCAGGTCAAGGCTGGGCCACAATACACCTGCTGGAGGCACAGGAGCAGGAAGGAGAAACTGAGGCACAAGAAGTGGAACAACTTGCCCCCATCCCAGTGCCTTGAGCCCCAAGCAGCACCGCTTCATACTGGCACATAGGACAAAGTGCCCCCCTTCTCTGGGGGTTAAAATCCTTTCTACCTGGAGAAGTCAAGAGGCTCTCTGCCAAGGTCTTGTGAACTGCTCTGTACACAGCCTGCCACGAAGCCAGCACAGAGGTTCCTTAGAACCCTGGGCCTCCACAGTGCTTCCTGGAAAAGGGATCCTGTGGTCAAAAGTGGCTTTTTCCAGTTGCCTCCTGCATGCCTGAGCAGATTCAAGGCTCTGAGAAGGCCTGCAGGAAAGGGCTGTATCAGTCTGTCAGTTTGATGTGGAAGTCTTGTTGTTGGGGAACAAGTTTTAGAAACAAACAAAAAAGGCTCTTTGGGTGCCAAAAGCTATTTCTTGCACTCTCCTCTTTCCTGGTCCCTCGACCACCTCCTCCACCACCTGACCCTTCAAAGAACATCCTCTTCCCTGGCGTGACTGGAGGGCGCTTAGGATCCTATAGCCTGATCTCTGGTTTTAGGTAGCCCAGGGAGGGCTAAGCTTGCTCAAGATCGCATTAAAGAGCTAGTTGAAACTTGAACTCGGAGCCTCTGACTCACATAAACCCTTGTTGAGCATACGGAGCCCAATCTAGTCTCTCAGCAAGCTTTGAGGGTGGGGCAATGCCTGGATTTTCCTGTCTCTCTCCCTTCTACACGTGGCCTCAGCTCTGCACGGGGCCAAACCAATGCCAGCCTAATCACTAGCTCGGTGATAACCTTTCCACCCAAGGACCACCCTCTGCCACCTTGAGTAGGGGGAGGGTAGGCCGGGGACTTGGTGTCCTCACCCTTCCACCAAGTCACCTCCACAGACCTGGGACCTCAGCTGATAAAGATCTAGACCTGAGTTTCAACTTTTTTATTTTTAATTTTCTCAACCCTCGCTGCCGCCTCCAAGCATAAAATCCTCAATACTGCCCTTCTATAATGTTATTTGAAATTCAAAACAGGTTAACTAACCAGATAAAACAAAGAGGGAAACTGGACAAAGCTTGCTTTGTTTTGTGACTGCATTTTCTTCCGTCCTACCATCGGGTCCTCCCCTAACCCTAGCTCCTCCTCCTGGGGAGGGTTCTGAATCATCCCTTTCCCCTGGCACCCCCGGCACCGAGAAGTTCTTGCGGAATGTTTGCTGAAATTATGAAGCGCTCTGCCGTTGGCCCAACCATGACATGATGTCATCCTCATTCTCCAACACCCCCTCCAGGCTGGAGATCTGGCCTAGGCTACAAAGAGGACTCAGGTGCTAAGGGAACAGACTCATCCAAGGTCACGTGGCAGGTAAATACCAGCCAGGTTTCCCTGCTCCACAGAAACTAGTCTCTGGGGGAAGGAGCTGCTGGTGTGGGTTAGGCCTCACACTATGAAATGCCATGTGAAGGGTCAACTGGGTCTAACATGTGGCCACACCCCCTCACTCCCACCTCAACTCTCTGACTTGCCAGTAAAAGGCAACCCCGTAGCCACTGAGCCTTGGGACACCAGCTCCCTCACCAATCTTGTAATGAGCCTACCTCTGGGCACCTCTAGATAGCACTCTTTACACCTTGTCCACTGCACTAGAGCGTCCTTGTCCAACTGTAGCTATTGGGATTTGTCTTCCTGTGTGGAAAATGGGGAGCAGCCTTTTTTGCCAGGGAAGGAAGGTAGAGATGCAGAAACTTAAACGCTCCCATCCTGAAGTGGGTGTTTCAAATCCAACACCTTCATAGTGAGTGAAATCTTTAATTCAAGTGACCTTGCTGGCTGCTATTTGGTGCTGACCACAGGTTTACTGCTGGCTACCAGGTCTACCCCACCTGGCATTGGGTGAATAGCACCTGTTCACACTCATGCCACCCATTTTACAGATGAGAAAAATGAGCCCTCTAGATCACAGAGCAAAACCAGCACATGTCCCGGAAGCCTGCCCACATCCTACCAACACCTGCTGTAGGAGCAATGCCCGTGGGGATGGAGAGGAACCAAGGAAGAAAGGGACCCTAGCTGTCTAGGCAGCTCTGCAGTTCAGTGTCAGTGACCTGGGCTTGGGTGGCCACTGTGAAGCCTCAATGTTCCCAGAGTCCTTCTGTTTACCCTGCACAGGCTGGTCAGGGCCTGGGCACATGGCCAGCACTCCCTCAATAGTAATGACCTCAGGGACAAGTTTTGGGGTTAGGGGCAGGGACCGCACATTCAGAGCAGCTGACGGGGCTGCCTGTGGAAGCACCAGGGGTGGGCAAAGCAGCGCACTGCTGATGGAGGAGGTCCAGGGGGTGAGGGAAGCTGTGCTTTGGGTCACCTGCAGGCTGTGGTCCCTCAGGGCAGTCTCACTGGAGGCCTTCCACTGCTGTGCAGAGCCCCTACCCCAGGGTGGCCTGCTGGGGAGCACAGCTCTTCACCCTTAACATGGAACTGTGGGACCCTGTCAAGATTTCCTCCAACTGGTGCCACCTAGGATTAGACGTCAACTCCTTCCGGGACAGCCCCTGAAAGTCTAGCACTTCGAGGTGGAAGACAGGGAAACTGAGGCCAGAAAAGGAGTAGTTAGCTGCCTCCGGACACCATCTTGAATGGAGATTCTCAGAGCATCAAGGTGATAGGAAGAGGGAGCACCTAGGGCCTTTAGGGAGCAAAATGGAAACGTGGGGGGAGAGATGCAAAGGGTTTTGTTGTTTGTAAAGTCTCTCTACATAGACCGGCTGACCTTAAACTTGTGCATCAACCAGATCTTTCTGCCTCAGTCTCCTAAATGCTGGAATTACAGGTATGGGCCACCCCAGACGTATTAAGATCTGTCCGCCCCACTACCCCACGTTAAACACAAGCAGCTGTCCAGTTCAGTGGCCTCTGCCACTGTGGTCACTGTTTTCCCTGCCTAGAAAAGGGACTCCGAACTTGAAGGGTCCTGCATGGTTGGGGCAAGGGAGGACCAGCTGGAGGGCAGCTGGGATGGGAAATCCGGGAAGGACTTCAACTAGGAAACACCCCCCTCACCCCCCAGGACCGGTGAGGGGAGACTGTGGAGGGTCCCTCGCTCGGGTCCCGCGGGGGCAGCGGGCAGAGGCTGTCTTGGCCAGAGGGGAACCGGACGGGATGACCTCATCCGCTCCTCCAGCCTGGAATGCGGCGGCTGGGGAGGGGGCAGGGTGCCTTGTCCCCGGCCATCCCCCCTCCCAACTTCCCGCTCTCCGTGCTGGCGTAGCCAAGGGGCCCGACATTTGGACAGCTCTCTGCTCCGGGTCCCTTCCGCCCTCGGCTCGTGCCCCTTCCAGTTCTCGATTTACCGCTCAGCCCTCCCGTGGTCCCCGATCCTCGGTCCCCTCCGCCCTCCGGCAACGTGACAAAACAACCCGTGAAGTCTTTGCGCCCTGGCCTCCTCCGAGTTGGCACGGGGTGCCCTGCGTCCATCCGTCCCCGCGCACCCTGGACGGTGCGCCCACCACGGCCAGGCCCGCCCGTCCATCCTCACGTGCCAGCTGCGGTTACCTCGTGTCGCCGAGTCCCGGCGGGGTCCAGGGGCGGGCACAGCGGTGGCGGCGGCGGCGGCGGCTGCGGCGCGTCCCTGCGCAGCCCGAGAGTCGCTGGGCCGGTCTGCGCCGCCCTGGCCCCAGGCTCGGCGGCCGGGTCCGGGGGCGGGGTGCGGGCCGCCTCCGCCCCCTCTCCGCCCGCACGCGCCGCGGCTCCCTCCCCGCTCGGCGACGCGCGGGG